TATATTCCCTGCACATCTTTTCTCGCTGAGCCGAGGCAAAGCCGCGCACAGCCGAGCACAGCTGAGCACAGGCAAGCATAGCCCGAGCACAGCTGAACTCAACCGAGCAGGCATGCAGTGCTGTGTCAGTGTTACAGCGAAAGGAGATGGTCAGGCTTTTGGAGCACAATTGGGAACTTGTCCTGGTGCACTCTGTCCTGAGTGGCAGAGGTCATGAGCAGGAATGATGGTGGCCGGGGAACCACCTGGGTCTGGACAAGGGAGCGCTTTCAGTGCCTATGGTCCTGCCAGCACAGGCCTGAATCCCTGGACGGTTTCCTTGCAGCCCTTCCAGCGTTCTACCCTGAATCCTTCTTTTGAGGAGGCCCCGTTGGGGAGGTGTACACGTGCATCCCTGCCATCTACTCAAACACCCGTAATCATTTCCCCGCTCGTCCCTGCCTTGGCCGTGCACACCAGCCCCTCCTGGAGGAAAACAAAAGTGCCCTGAGTATTTGGTGTGGGGTGGTGTGGTGTCGGGTGGTGCGGGGTGGGGTGTTGTTCCAGTGGGTCAAGCATAGGCCTCCTAGGCAGATGGCCTATATGGGTGCTGTGTTATCATGGCTGCATCCACTGCAGTCCAGCTCCCTGCTGGTATTCCTGGGAGAGTAGCAGAGGATGGTGCAGGGGCTTATGCCCCCGTGCCCCTGTGGCCCTGTGGCCCTGTGCCCCTGTGGGAGATCTGGAGGAAGCTCCTGGTTCCTGGGCTTGTCCTGGCCCAGCCACTGCTGGCTCTGGTGGTGGTCCCTGGGGAAGTGAGCCAGCAGGTGCAAGAAAGATTGCTGCCTCTCCCTCTCTGTTGCTCTGTGCTTCAAAGCAAATAGGACAGAGGTAGGCTGGCAGGTAGGCAGGCAGGAAGAGACAGAAAGCTGCTGGGCTCCTGGGAGGGAGTGTGCTGTGTGCTGTGCTGTGGCTCTAGACTGCATTATTCCGTGTGAATGCAGACCCAGGGGGTGTGCGTAGGGCTTCTGCCATGGAACTCCTGTGCAACTTCTAAAAAGAGGGTCTTGAGAGAGAATGCCTCTGTGGGCTGGGATGCTTCCCTTGATCTGGCAGGAGAGGCCTGGAGGAGCGTCCTGCAGTGAGTCTTTGTGGCCATGAGAAGGCACGTGAAGCTCCCTTTGTATCCTGGGTTGGCTCAGGCCTTCTGAGCTCTAGACAGCCCAGCCCCTAGGCATCCCAGCGTCAGGTGGGGGTCCCAGACAGTGCTCCCAGACACGTGTCGTTAAAAGACCAAGGCACCAAGGTCGAACAACCCGCATTACAAGGCCCAGTACAGGATGAAGGATGCTTGGGCCTCTATGGTAAAACTGTCAGGGTGCCTTCACTAGCAAAATACTCGATCAGAACACCCAAAGAACTGTGGAATATGGAGACCCACGTCATCATGCCCAGGGCACTGTGGGAGTTGCAATCCACGTAGGCATACCCAGGGCACTATGGGAGTTGCAGTTCCACGTCAGCGTGCCCAGGGCCCGATGGGAGTTGCAGTCCCTCGTCAGCATGCCCAGGGCACCGTGTGATGTGCAGTCCCAAATCAGTGTGCCCAGGGCACTGTGGGAGCTGCAATCTCATGTCAGCGAGCTCAGGTCACTGTGGGAGTCCCACGTCAGTCTGCGTGCCCTTGGGCCCTCTGGAAGTTGTAGTCCCACGTTAGGGCACTTAAATATTCTTGCCACTGGAGTGGTGAGGCATTTTGAGAAAAGATGTTCCACAAGGTAGCCTTCGAACGGGTGCTCTGGGACAAGAGACACCATCCCCTTGTCTCCCGAGGTGCATCCTGAGACGTATATATTCCAAGCACCTCTTTCTCCGCCGAGCGCATTTGTGCACAGCCGAGTAGAGCTGAGGAGAGCTGAGCAGAGCTAAGTAGCGCCAAGCACAGCCGAGCTCAACCGAGCAGGCATGCATTGCTGTGTCCGTGTTACAGTGCAAGGGCCCGATGGTCAGACTTTTGGGGCACACTTGGGAACTTGCACTGCAGGTGGCAGAAGTCATGAGCAGGTATGACAGTGGCCGGGGAACCACTTGGGCCTGGACAAGAGAGCGCTTTCAGGGCCTGTGCTCCCGGCAGCACAGGCCTGGAGCCCTGGACTGTTTCCCCGCAGCCCTTCCTGCACTCTGCCCTGAACCCTTCTTTTGGAGAGGCTCTTTGGGGAGGTGCTCCCCCATATCCCTGCCCTCTACTCACACACCCATCACCCCTTGCCCGCTTGCCCGTGCCTTGGCCGTGCACCCCAGACCCTCCTGGAGGCCCTCCGCAGCTGTCCTGCCTACCCCTGCCCGCTCAGTGCTTGATCTCAAGTTGCCCTGATAGATACCGCTTTCCTGCTCACTTGCTTAGTGCTGGTCTCTGGCAACAGGTCTGTTATCCTCCTGCTTTTTGGCAGAAGCCCTGCCCTTCCTCGTGGGTGTCTTCAGGCTCCAGGCCTTCTCCGGCACTCTCTCTGATGGCTCCACACCCATTTTCACAAGACACTTTCCTACCTGGTCGCTCGACAGCTCAAGCCCATGTGGATGGCTGTGGCCTCCCCACAATGACCTGCTTGCTTGCTTGCTTGCTCTTCGTGTGTCAGTGATCATGACGCCCTTTCCCAGGTACTGGAGTCTGACCCTGCCCTCCTGCGTGCCTGCCTGCCTGCCCACTGTCTTTCTCTCCTATAGGGCCTGCGTGTGTATGTGTGTGTGTCCATGAGGGCCCACAAGCCTCCTCTTGCCACAACCTTGGTGGCATGGGTGTCCAGCGTGGCGTCCGGGCATGGGCTCATGAGGACCCCTTTCCCTTTGTCAGGGGCTCCTAGGAAACACTCGAGGGCTTAGGCATCCCTGTTGGTTGATTTTGAGGCAGAAATTTGGCCCCAAGGCCTCCAGCCAGATGCTGCTGCCATCTCGTTCACCAGGGAACGCTTCACCCTCCACCAGGGCCATCCTGGACTCAAGACTCTCTCTCCTGCAGGCCAGCCGTGGACCATCGGCCACCGCTAACATGCCACCTGCCACAAGACACCCAACGACTGATGTGTGTTCTCCACAGAGTTCCTTCTCACCAGGACAGGTAGAGTAGCAACATGCCTGGATGCATCATTTGTACCAGCTGCTCTCACAGCATGCAACGGCATAAGTTGTGCAAGCCAGGGGGACAGGCACCCTCACCAGTCTGGTGAAGGAGCTGCTGAAGAAACCAGCAAGGGGTGGAGTCGGGTGCTGTGGGGTGGTGCAGGGTGTTGTCCCAGTGGGTCAAGCCTCAGCCTCCCAGGTGGATGGTCTGTATGGGTGCTATTTTAAAGCCTGGCTGCTTCCCCTGCGGTCCAGCTCCCTGCTGGTACTCCTGGGAGAGCAGCAGAGGATGGTCCAGGGGACTTGTGCCCCCGTCCACCTGTGCCCCTGTGGCCCTGTGGCCCTGTGCCCCCGTGGGAGATCTGGAGGAAGCTCCTGATTCCCAGGCTTGTCTTGGCCCAGCCACTGCTGGCTCTGGTGGTGGTCCCTGGGGAAGTGAGCCAGCAGGTGCAAGAAAGATTGCTGCCTCTCCCTCTCTGTTGCTCTGTGCTTCAAAGCAAATAGGACAGAGGTAGGCTGGCAGGTAGGCAGGCAGAAAGAGACAGAAAGCTGCTGGGCTCCTGGGAGGGAGTGTGCTGTGTGCTGTGCTGTACGCTGTGCTGTGGTTCTAGACTGCTTTTTTCCGTGCGAATGCAAATCCCGAGGGCATGCGTAAGGCTTCTGTCATGGAACTCCTGTGCAACCTCTGTAAAGAGGGTCTTGAGAGAGAATGCCTCTCTGGGCTGGGTCTGCTTCCCTTGATCTGGCAGGAGGAGTGTCCTGCAGTGAGTGCTATTGGCCACGAGAGGGCGCGCAAAGCTGCCCTTTGTATCCTGTGTGGGCTTAGGCCTTCTGAGCGCTAGACAGCCCAGCCCCTAGGCATCCCAGCATCAGGTGGGGGTCCCAGACAGTGCTCCCGGACACGTGTCGTTAAAAGACCAGGGGTCCAAGGTCGAACAACCCGCATATCAAGGCTCAGGATTGGGAGGAGGACACTTGTGGCCTTGTATCAGCCCGGGCGTCTGTGATAGGAAGTGTCAAGGTGCCTTTAACGGCAAGGTATGACATCAGGGCACTGAAAGAACCTTGGGAGGTAGAGTCCCACACCAGCGTCCCCACAGTGCCCTCTGCGAGCTGGAGTTAATAGCTCCCCAATGGGCTACTCAGAGGGCTTTGTGTATTGTTTTTTCGTCCTGCATGTGTCCTGGTGGCCACGAGATGGCGCTTGAGTCTGACTTTTCTGGCACTGGTCCACTTAGTTATCATTTCCCAGGTTGTTTTCATGTGTCCTGTGACTGACTCAGGCCTCGTGGTTAACCTTCATGGCAGGTTGCTCTTTCTAACACCATGTTGTGACCAGATAGTGATAACTGTTTGTGTGCAGGGCTCTTTCCTCAGTGGTCATGATTTTTAAAGACCATGAGAAAATCCTGTAGCTAAAACGATATGAGTCTCATGGGTGTTGTGCAAACCCCATCCCAGAATGAGGGCTTTGCTGTAGGCCCCAGTCCTCTGTAATTGGTGGTGGCTCAGGCTGAATGTGGGCACAAAATGGCGTGAGGGTTTATGGGGTTTTGTGTGTGTTTGGGCTTGGTACGCCCAGTGGTGTTGCCACATCAGCATGAAGTCATTGTGCCTGCAAAGAAGTCCGGAAGACCAAGTCCCCACCTTGGCTGACTCCCTGGTGCAATTGGATGAAGATCTGAGCAGCGGAGAAGGTAAGTGGGTTCTGGGGTCCTGAACTGGTGTTTGGTCTTTAGGGATTAGGGTTAAGCTATGTGTTTTATCGGGTAACTTTGTTTTCGGAATTAGTGCTGGTGATTAGGGTGCAAGGGTGCTAGGGTTCTAGGGTTCAGGGCTAGGGTGCTAGGGTTATGGTTAGGTGTTAGAGTGCTAGGGTTAGGGGTTAGGTGTTAGGGTTAGGGTTAGGGGTTAGGGTTAGTGTTTCGGGTATGGGTTAGGATTAGGGTACGGGTTAGGGTAATTTTCCTGGGTAACTGATTCCTGAAAACTAAATTTTGTAAAAATTTCAGATAAGACAACATAATGCTTCAAATATTTATTCTCTATTTCACATTAGAGACCCTTGTTTTAAAAAGAGAAAACAAAACTTTTTCTTTTGGCGAGCTTATTTTTAGGAGGGAGATTTTAAAGAAAAATGCAGCTTTTAACATCTAGAAGGTGGGGGTTAGGTCACCCCCATGTCAGATGGTGTCTAGGAACTCCAGCCCTGTTCCAACCAGCTCCTTGCTAAGGTACTGAAAAGGAAAATTTAGGATAGAGAAACTTAACTTGCTTCTTTGCCTTCCGTATCTTGCTTGCTGAGAATCGCTGAACAGGACTTCTCATGGTAAATGATTGAGTTCAATTGGGACTCAGGATTCAAAGTACAGCAGTGGCCCTGAAATAGGCATCTCAGGAGGAATCAAGGTAAATAGTGAGGAGCCGGAAAGTCCCTGAGTTCTTGAAGGAGGCTCCAAAGTTCTGAGAAAAGCAAACTCAAGGAAAATTGTCACAAGGAACTGAAAGAAACAGCAGACTTATGATGTAATGGTCAGAAAAAAAGCCCCTGTTGTGGTGCCCACGACTCCTATCGTCCAGCAATAAGAGGCAGATGCGAGTGAAGTCTTCTGCGGTAGTCTTTATTGTGCACACCAAGATGAGGAAGAGGAAAGGGCCCCGACCTCGGCAGGCTGCCTGCTCTTATGTGCTGACTGGCCCCGCATCCGCCAGTGATAGGTTAGCGACATGATCACGCAGGGTCCTGGGTGACCGGATTCGCCAGTCCCCAGTGTTCACGCGCCGGCCATGAGTCGGTCATGCCATAGTTCACTGCGCGTGTGCTGGGCGCCTGCGCAGTACTACGAAAGCTATGTGACTCTCCACCAGGCACCAAGGTGTGGCTTCTCCGGCCGGCGCCATTTTGGGTACGGCATGTGGCCAGTGCATACGGATGCGGCTGGCAACACCCTAGGTTTATGATTTTATGGTTTTAGCCTTTATCCTTTGTGCAAGTGATTTAAAAATGCTGTGTAAGTGATTTTGGCCTATAAAAAGAATGTTGTGTAATGACTTGGGGCTGGTGTGTCTGCCCTCCTGCGTGAGGAACTTGCCCCAGCCCCAGCGCGTTGGTACCTCATGATTGGGCCCGGCGCGGTGGCGCAAGTGGTTAAGGTCCTCGCCTTGCACGCCCGGGATCCCATATGGACGCCGGTTCTAGCCCGGCAGCCCCGCTTCCATCCAGCTCCCTGCCTGTGGCCCAGGAAAGCAGTCGAGGACGGCCCAAAGCTTTGGGACCCTGCACCCGCGTGGGAGACCCGGAAGAGGCTCCTGGCTTAGGGTTGGCATAGCATCGACAGTTGCGCTCACTTGGGGAGTGAATCATCGGACGGAAGATCTTCCTCTCTGTCTCTCCTCTCTGTATATCCGCCTTTCCAATAAACAAAATAATAAAAATAAATCTTTAAAAAAAAACAAACCTCATGCTTTTGCATCAAGCCTCGTCTTCGCTGATCATTGGGCAGACTCACTTTCTCCAGAGTCAGTAAGGCTGTCCTCACTTCGCGCGGCCTTACAGTACCAGCAAGGCGGGAGGTGATGCCTCCAGCACCAGGGGACCTTGTGGGGACTTTGTGGAGAGACCAGCTCTAGTCCCTACTGGCTTCGGCTTAGCCCTCAGCTGGTCCGGACATTTGGGGCGATAAGCAGCGCAGGAGATTCCTTCTCTTCCTCTTTGCGTTTGAATAAATGAAATGTAAAATCCAGAAGCTGAATTGTATCTGGCACGTGTGATTGAATGGGCTCCCGGGCTACCCAAGTCAGCAACAAGCCTGATGGCTGTCAAATCGCAAAGTTCAAAGAGCCAGGGGCACCCACACGACCCTAACCCACAAGTCGGGGTCTGGGGAGGACGCACCTCGCAGACCGGCACAGCACGGCGGCTCCCGGCAGCAGAAGAGGAAGAGGGCGCGGTGGAAGGCGTCGTCGCGGTCCGGAAGCGGCGCGCACACCTGCAGCAGGAAGGCGAGCGGGCGGCCGCAGAGCGCGCAGGCCAAGGCCCCGGGCCCCGGTAGCCCCGCCGCGCCCAGCCCCGCCGGCCGCCCGCCCGCCTTGCTGGGGAACTGCTCGCTTCGCAGCCGCCACGCGGGCGCCTCCTCCGCAAAGCCCAGCTCCACCGGCGCGGCCTGCGGCGCGGCCTGCGGCGCAGCCATGCCAGCCCGGAACCTCGGCGCCCAGGAGCGGGCTGGCGGCCGGAAGGCGGGAGGCGGGAACACGGCTGGAGGACTGGAGCCTGGTGGGAGGAGGCCTGCAGGCCGACTTCCGCTCCGTCACGGGAGGTTTGTAACATTCTTCCGGGATCGCGTGTTGGGGAAGTGGTTGGCGGAGACACAGTGGAGACATTGGGTGTTTGAGGTCTGTTATTCACGGCAGGGAGTCCCGTTGCCACGGGTCTTAGGTCACGCGGAAGCGGGAGCCGGTCCGCCATGCAGCGGGGCCTCCTCAGGCAGCTAGCCCAGCTCCGCCGCTGCTCAGGGAGGAAAGCCAGAGGTGGCTGGCCTGACTGGGATCCTTCCCACCCGGACCCCACCCCGGGGAGCGGCCTTGCTGTTGTAGTCACCCAGGAGGCCGTGTCCCTGTTGGTGTCCCTGGGGCTTCCTGTTGTGGCCCCGGAAGGCAGCATAAGGTGGTCCTAGAGCCTGTGCCTGCACCAGGACTGGAGACCCCTTGAGCTTTGGCCTGGCCCAGCCCCAACAGTTGTAACCAGCTGCTGCAGTATTTCTTGCTCTTGCTCAGCCATTCAGATCCATATGTCTTTTAAAACTAAATACTTCCATTCTTCCTCACACTGAATTGACGGTGGGTGAGGCACTGTGGTTATAGTCGACTAGACCACTGCCTGCAGCCTTGGCATCCATGTAGGTGCTGGTTTGTTCCCCAGGCTCTGGTTTTGATCCGGCTCCCTGCTCAAGTGCCTTGGGAAGCAGTACGGGATGGCTCAAGCCTTGGTCTCCTAAACCCATGTGGGAGAACCACGTGCAGAAAGCAACTGGCCGTTTGGCTCCTGGCTTCAGATTGCCTCAGCTTTGCTTCAGTTCGGCCATTTAGGGGGTGAGCCAGCAGGTAGAAGATCTCTCTGTCTAGTTCTTTCTATAACTCTGCCTTTCAAATAAAATAGAATAGATCTGAAAAAGAAATGAATTGTGCTGTTGAGAGCACAATCATTGTTGAAAACTTTCAGTTTTTGGTATGGTAGATTGATGTGACTTACATACAATATAATAGCACCCACAGCTGGTCTGTGTCCTGGCTGTAACATGGATGTGATGTCCATAGAGTGAATAACACCCACAGATGGTCTGTATAGTGGGTCTAACAAGCTGAGTCTCTGTGGGACGGCCACAGTGTCCTGCCCTACGATGTGACCTCCCCTCCTCCATGCTCTGGGATGCTCACTTGCACCCCATGCATCAGCACTGTGGTTCCCCCTCCCCCCCAAGATGACCCAGCAGTCTGGACTGATGGTGTTTGTGTCCAGCAGGTGGCACCATCAGGTGCACAGCCTGGTGAGGCAGCAGCACCCTGCTCTATCCCTAACCCTGCCCTATCCCCCCCACCCCACCCTGCACTCTTTGCTCTTGCTGACTGTAGTCCCTGTTACAGCTCCTAGTGGCTCCCTGAAGAACCAGGACAGGGGGCAGGGTACCAGAGACAATGAGTGGTACCACCACCCCATCCCTGGGCCCTGCTCCTGCCCTGGGCTCATCTGGGTGGCTATGGACTGAGATGATCTTAGCTTCTGGGAGTGTACTGATGTGGCCCATACCCCTCTCCCCAGCTGGGCTGGCACCTGGTGCACCTCTAGCAGACTTGTGGATCACTGCCTGGCCCTTCCAGGATGTCACCATCTCCACCAAGCACAACTGAGTCAGTGGCTGCAACCTAGCTTTCATGTGGCACTTTCTGCAACAGGAGCTCTGTGCCATGCAGCTGAAGATCAGCAAGTGGAGGGATTTGATGCCAACCTGGTACCACGACTGTCGGGACCCAGGGGCCTGGGCTGAGGCTTTCTGGGCCTGAACTAGGAGCATGGTAGGGGGTTCATGGCCAAGGGTTGCTGGGCTGAACTGGGAGCACAGGAAGGGGTTTGTGGCTGAAGCTTGCAGGGACTTGACTCAGGGTATGAGAAGGATCCGTGTCAATAGCCCACCACTGTGGGGAGGATGAGCCTGTAAAGCCCAAGAGGCAGGCAGTCATCAGCCATGTGTGAGGGTTAATCCAAGGCCAGCTGCCTGTCTCGGGAGGCTCACAGGCTGTGTGACTTGAACCTCATGGATTGCTATCTCACCTCTCGGTGCCTCTGCTCACTGGGCCTTTGCTGGGATCCTGTGCTGTCTTTAACAGTGACCACATGACTGACTGGCCTTTCGTTCTGGTTCAGGTCATCATGAAGGTGAAGAGTTTTACCATTTCCTCAAGGTCATCACTGAAAGGAGGCTCCTTGTTCTGGGGCAGCGGGCAGAAGGAGCACCACGCTGGGCTACCGGAAGGCTGTGTTGACATCAGCCACTTTGCAGAGGTGCCGGTCTGTGTCATTGCACACCCTGAGTTCCAGAGAGTGGAAACTGGTGCATTCTCACCATAGCCCCAAGAGCTGCTGCTACAGCTGGAGAAGGTCATGGCTGCCACTGTAGACCTCAGTACCCTTGGAGGATGGCTGCCAGGGTAAACCTTCCTGCCCGAGACTCTCCACCTGCCCCCATGGCCTGGTAAGTGCTCCTATGAAACAAGAAGAGCTTCTTCCTGGATACATGACATGGTTCTGCCAGCCCAGGGCTGTTTTCTGAGTGTCCCAGGCGTGGGTCATCAGGGAGCATAGGGCCCTACTTGCTGTGAGGGTGCCTGGGGTTGGGAGTGTTGGGCTTAGCTTACAATTAAGCTTCCTGTTAATACACCCAGGAAGGATGCCCCACGTGCCATCTGGGAGTCCTCTGGCTCCTGGCTTCAGCCTGGTCCCAAGTCAGGAACCAGGAGCCAGGAGCCTCTTCTGGGTCTCCTGCACAGATGCAGGGTTCTAAGGCCACATGCAGGGAGCTGGATGGTAAGTGGGGCCTCCAGGACACAAGCTGAGCTGGTGCCCATATGGGATTCCAGCACATGCAAGGTAAAAACTTTAAGCACTAGGCTGTCACACCAGGTGTAACCAACCATTTGGTATTTTCTTTTCTTCTTCTTCTTCTTCTTCTTTTTTTTTTTTTTACAGGAAAGTGGGTAAGACTATTATTTTTTTCCAAATTGTTTCCTTCATGTTTAAAGGGGGGTGTTAAGGGAGAAGGCCCACCCAATTTCCCACCCTCCCCACATTTGGTATTTTCGAAAGCAAAGATTTCATACCTGCTACAGAAACAATTAATGGTAATAACAAATCACTGTGCCATGGGCCACGTTATGTGTGCATACGTGTTTGTTGTTAGCTTTGCCAACTACCCAAGAGAGAAGAACCAACCAAGTACAAACAGACCTTTATTATGAGAAGAGAAATCTGTTGCTGGGCCTTACCCCTTGCGGCAGAGGAACAAACGGGAGAAGAGGACTGCAAGTGGGAAAGACAAGCCGGGGAGTGGAGACAAGGTTTCATACCCCTTCTGACGTGGGTGCTGGCATTGGCCCTCCTTGGGCCCTGGTAGGGCAAGGAATGTTGGCCATTGTCCATCACTGGCCCATATGTGGCGTTGGCTGCCTTTGGGATGTGCCAGATCTCTGGCTGAGGTCACTGTGGTGTCCACCCACTTCCTGTAACTGCAGTAACCATCATGTGTGTCTTTCCAATTTGAAAGAGAGAGGGAGCATCAAAGAGAGAATGGGAAGGGGATTTGGGGAGGAGGGGAAAGGAAAACCCAAAGCCTATGGAACTAAAATAAACATGTAAATAAATAGATAAAGACATAAATAAGAATGGGATCTTTCAATTTCTGATTCACTTCTCAGATGGCTTCAATAAGCAGAGCTGGGCCAGGTAGAAGGCAGGAACCAGGAACTCCATGCTGGTTTCCCACATGGGAGAAGGCCCAAGGATCTGGATCAGTCCTCATTGCCTCCTCACATATGTTAGCAGGGAGCTGGATTGGAAATGGAACAGCCAAGACTAGAACTGACACTGCGGTAAAATAGGCAGCTAGTTCAGGGTCACGAGCTTGGAAGTCATTCCCCTACCACCTAGGTGTTCCCTCTCGCCCACCTGTGACTCTCACCTGTCACCTGAGAGGGGGTGGTACTGCATTGTTGTGTAACCACTCCCCTCACAAGCGCTATAAAGGCCCACGATAGGAAGGTGCTCACCATCTTGGTCTTGTGCTTCTGTTGGTCTGGCACTCTGACTCTTGGCCTCCCCAGTACCTGTGAGGACAGGTATGGCCCATGCGTGTCTGTATTCCTCATCCTTTGTTTACTGTTTGGGTGGGATAATGAAAATAGCAATGAAGTACATGCAGGTTATTCATTGCATGTCTCTTAGGATAACTTATATTGTTGGGGAAGCTGGGACATGGGTCTTCAGCGTAATGAATGGACTTGAGGGTAATGACCATTTGTTCCTCTTGGGGTTATGATTGATTGGATTGCCATGTGGACTTGTGACTTGCTATTTCTAGTGGGCCCTGTTATCACCAACTTGGTTAATAAAGACTCCTTAATAAACCTAGACATATCTGGCATGATTTCGCTCACACCCAGCAACAGCACACTGATTTGGAATGCTGTTGGCAAAGATGGTGATTTAAATGGTTATGCCAAGCCCGTCTCCATATGTCTTTTCTGTGATGCTACTTTATTATTTATTTATTTATTTACTTATTTGCAATTATGGCAGAATCCTCTGAGGTGTTTCCTTTATTTTACAAACCAAGACTTAGAAATATTTCTAGAAAACAACTGTTTTTCCCTATGTGATACGCATGGTAAATAAAAGAGATTTCACACCAGCTAATATATGGGCCTTTGATCATTCACAGAGAAACTTGAGGGGAAAAACTGTTTCTGGCAGAGCATCACTTTATACTATTTCTTCTGTTTGGCACTCAGGGGACAAAGGTCAATGTTGACGATAATAAACAAAAGTAGATGACCACTTTTGTGTCCCCACAAAATGTCCCCGTTGAAGCCCTCATAGCAATCTCCTTCACTGCTGTGTGAAGGCACAGAAGGTGGC